TGGGCTCTTTCTCCAGGAACCGACAGAGCCAGAGGACACAGCCTCAGCTGCCCCAAGGGAAATTCAGGTTGGATGTCAGGGAAAGGTGAGAAAGTTCTGGAATGGTTTTCCTGGGGAGGTGGTGGAGTCCCCACCCCTGGGTGTGTTTGACAAAGTCTGGATGTGGCTCTGGGTGCCAGGGTTGAGCTGAGGGGTTGGGGCTGGGTTGGACTCGATGGGCCTGAAGGTGTCTTCCAACCTGGTGGTTCTGTGATTGTGGGAATTGTGTGATTTCTGTGATTGTGGGAATTCCGTGATTGTGGGAATTCTGTGATTGTGTGAATTGTGGAAATTCTGTGATTGTGTGAATCATGGGAATTCTGTCATTTCTGTGATTCTGTGAATTGTTTGGATTCTGTAAATTGTGTGATTCTGTCATTTGTGTGAACTGTGTGGATTCTGTGATTCTATGGATTCTGTGACTGGGTGGATTCTGTGAATTCTGTGATTCCGTGAATTCTGTGATTCCCTGATTGTGTGAATTGTGTGGATTCTGTGGTTCCGTAATTGTGTGAATTGTGTGATTCACGTGAATTCTGTGATTGTGTGAATTCTGTGATTGTGTGAATTGTGTGATTCACGTGAATTCTGTGACTCTGTGATTCCGGGATTGTGTAATTGTGTGGATTCTGTGAATTCTGTGACTGTGGATTCCATGGATTCCGTGGATTCCCGGGGCGGGCGGGGCTCGGGGCGGGGCTCACCCGGTGTTTGAGGTAGGACAGGTAGGTGTCCCAGCCCAGGGTCACCACGTTGACGTAAACCACGCGGTAGGCGGGCGGCACGAAGAGGAAATTGAGGATCTGCGCCGCCGGCCACACGCTCCAGTCNTGGGCTCTTTCTCCAGGAACCGACAGAGCCAGAGGACACAGCCTCAGCTGCCCCAAGGGAAATTCAGGTTGGATGTCAGGGAAAGGTGAGAAAGTTCTGGAATGTTTTTCCTGGGGAGGTGGTGGAGTCTCCACCCCTGGGTGTGTTTGACAAAGTCTGGATGTGGCTCTGGGGTTGGGGCTGGGTTGGACTCGATGGGCCTGAAGGTCTCTTCCAACCTGGTGGTTCTGTGATTGTGGGAATTGTGTGATTGTGGGAATTGTGTGATTTCTGTGATTGTGGGAATTCCGTGATTGTGGAAATTCTGCGATTGTGTGAATCATGGGAATTCTGTGAATTGTGGGAATTCTGTCATTTCTGTGATTCTGTGAATTATTTGGATTCTGTAAATTGTGTGATTCTGTCATTTGTGTGAATTGTGTGGATTCTGTCATTTGTGTGAACTGTGTGGATTCTGTGATTCTATGGATTCTGTGACTGGGTGGATTCTGTGAATTCTGTGATTCCGTGAATTCTGTGATTCCCTGATTGTGTGAATTGTGTGGATTCTGTGGTTCCGTAATTGTGTGAATTGTGTGATTCACGTGAATTCTGTGATTGTGTGAATTCTGTGATTGTGTGAATTGTGTGATTCACGTGAATTCTGTGACTCTGTGATTCCGGGATTGTGTAATTGTGTGGATTCTGTGAATTCTGTGACTGTGGATTCCATGGATTCCGTGGATTCCCGGGGCGGGCGGGGCTCGGGGCGGGGCTCACCCGGTGTTTGAGGTAGGACAGGTAGGTGTCCCAGCCCAGGGTCACCACGTTGACGTAAACCACGCGGTAGGCGGGCGGCACGAAGAGGAAATTGAGGATCTGCGCCGCCGGCCACACGCTCCAGTC